CCCCAGCACACCTGTTCACCCCGCCCCTGCGCCGCCCCGGGAGCTCACTGCGTCACCCCTCCTCTGCAGCTGGCCAGAGACCACACCCACGCCACATGTACCATCAAGAATGATCTTAGGAGGAGGGGAAATAAGGGGAGTAGAATTTTTGAATGACTATAAAAATGAGTGATTTTGTATTAATGGACTGTTGCTGTCACAGACCTTGCTGTGAACAGACGAATCATCTTGAAGAAATTAGTATACCAAAGGTTTGCAGTTGGATAACAAAATGAGGAGTGCCAGAGCACTAAACAACAAACCCATTCTTCTAGGCTCACTCTGCTGAGTTATATTACGGACTTTGGGAGAACTATGGGAGTTTAGGAAGGTGTCACCATTCCCTCATGAGATCTACATCCATTGAGGCAGAGGAAAGACTGTTGTGGCAAGTCAATGATCCTCTCTTCTTTCTCTTTCAAAGCAGCAGTAGTAGATGTACAACATCAGCTCTTATGATTAATCTTAGTGATGTACAAAAAATTAAAGGAACATTCTCAAAACATATCAGATCTCAATGGGATCTAATGGACTGCGATTCACCTTTCCAGCACCCTGACATAGACTTTGATGGGGATGCTGAGGAGTGTGATCTCCTTATAGTTGGAGCACACCTAATGGTTCCCCTTATTAAAGATGGGAGCCATCACCCCAGTCCGCCAGTTCTCAGGTACTGCCACCTGACATTGTAGACCTGTGCCAATCAAGACAAACCTACAACATCAAGAGCCTTGAGGAACTCAGAGTGAATCTCATCCACCCCAGGGGCCGTGCCACCAAGGAATTGTTTAACTGCCTCAGTGACCTGACCTCTAGTGATGCATAAGTCATCTCCCTCTTCCCCAGACTCTGTTTCCTTCACAGAAGATGTGATATGTGACAGGCACTAACCACCTTGCAGCCATAGCTCAGTGCAGTAGCCTAGCAGTGGAGGTACTGAACACAGTCCATTCTGACTCAATGTTCCCAGTCTCCCTTGGAATGCTGTAGAAGCTCTGTGTGAGGCGGGGGGGGGGTTGAAGATCTTGTGGACAAGGGCCTCTGCTAGGCATTTCCACTGCACCCTCACTATATGTTTAAGTGTACCAGGTCTGGCCAGCATCCTTCCTCACCAAGAGGAAAAATGGTAAAATGGAGTCCTTTGGCTAGCACTTTCTTTTCAGGTTCAGTGAAATTCCTATCCGAAAAGTTCTTCACCCAAATTTGCTGGCTGTCTTTACGACACCAACTATTTCCCATCTATAGTCCCGTTTTGAGATCCTTTCTGAGACGACTTAACGTCTGCTCACATCCAGGGCCATTTGACCTCAGTAAATCATCAGGTTTCACAATGTTGTGGCTTTTGCTAGTCGCTCCCCTCACAAAGCTGAACTCCCCTACTGTACTTCAAAGAAGGAGTGCCTTGCTGTGATATGGGCCCTTGAACACTTTCACCCATATGTTGAAGGCATTCATGTTACTATGTTCACTGACCACAACAGTCTCAGGTGGCTCATGTCTCATCAAAACCCAACACTCCGACTCGTCCGCTGGTCACTTCACCTGCAGGCCTTTGATTTCAGACTAAACGCAATCGTTTACCTCTGACTTGTGAGAGGCCGACAGAACACGCTGTCATGGGCAGTCTGGACATTTGTACTCTTAGCTCTCTGAACAGCTAAGACAGTGCTACCTTGTTACAGTATGTTGTGTATTGTAACAGTTGCTGTTGTAATGCATTGTATCACCACATGGTGGCGCCTCCTGTGTCATGACTGGTGTGTCACCCCCTTTTTGTTCTTCTTCGCACTGTCCCTGTAATGGATGCTCTTGTGTGTATGCGGACTAGTATGCTCTCGAGTAATGTGTGGTAGAGGTAGCACTTTTATTTTTGATATTTTAAATAAATGACTACTTGTGGAGAGGCAGAAGCTGTTGCTCATTCGCTATCCACCTGCACACCTCCGCGGCTGACTTCATCTCCACCGCACGTTACAGTATGACTCTCTTTTGTATCACAGAGACCCCAAGTCCACATGTGCTTCACACCCTTTGAAAGAGCTGAAACTGTTTGCCCCTGTTTCCATGAGAGGCGCCTTGCTAGTCTATTACCATGATCACCCCACAGCAGTTCACCTGGGTGTTTCTAGGACACTAGCTGGACTGTGCTTTAGGTTTTTCTGGCCCAAAATGGCAGCTGTTGTGAAACACCGTGTGACTTTATTACTGATGTGAAGCACCATGTGACTTTATGCTCAGTGTGCCAACTAACCAAGCCAAATCAGAAAAAAGTAGCTGTCATGGTCGGCTGTGTGGGCAGGCAGGAAGAGAGGACCCAAAATGCAGGACTCACTGAGGCGGAAGTAATTCAAAACACACAGCTTTATTGCTGGTAAGAAGCAGAACAGAAAAACACTAACTAAACTGGAAGAACGGAATAAGTAGGCAGGAAGGCTGGCTGGCAAACGGAGCACACAGAGGAAGCGAGGGTGAACAGACGTTAACGATGCGACACAGAGTAGGGGAAGACACAGACACTAAATACAAGAGGTGAACGGAGCAAAGAGGAAACAGCTGGGAGACACGGCTGACGTTGATTACACTGACGAGACAGGGAGAGCACAAAGCTGAAAGCACTGACAAAGGACACAGACCTACAAAATAAAACAGGAAGCACACGCCAGACAGAGACAGACTCGTAAACAGGCATAATGACGTCATGGACAAACAGAGGAACAACATAAGGGCAAGATAACAAAACCTGAACCAGAAATAATCATCATCGTCATCAACATCATTATCAGATAACTAAAGAATCAGAATAGAATTGTAATCAAAACAGTATCACCAAAGAATAACTAATCCATAATGCAAAAATAAACCAAAACATGAGAAACTCAAAATGCTGGGTCGACCCGACCCAGGACCGTGACAGTAGCAGGTCTTATGGTTCCCATTGTCCCCCAGAAACACAGAGAGTAGGCTATGTGGATTTTGTTGGGCCAGTGCCCTGCACCCCCGCTGGTAATGCATATTTGATCGTGTTTGTTGACTATTTAAATAAGTGGGTTGAAGCCTGTGCTGTCAAAGAAGCTACATCTCAGGTAGCAGCTGGTAAATTTGTCACTGACATTTTTGCTAGACACGATACACCCACTTACCTGATTTCTGACAGACGGTCTCCTTTTGTGAGTGAGCTTTTTGAACAGGTTGTTTCTGCTTTAGACTCAGTGCACAGACTCACTACAGCATATCTCCCTCAGAAAAATGCTACTGAACGCTTCTACTGGACTCTGAAGACTGCAATCTGCTCTTATATAGGTGATAAGCACACATCATGGGACAAGTTTCTCCTTCAGATTTGTCGTGAGTTGGACACCGTACTTGACCTTATCACTCAGCCTTTTACAGCAGGTGTTGTGTTGATGAACCGGGTGTACTTTACCCTGAGACTCTTAAAGCCTCCCCACAGGGAACTCACAACCAAACCAGAGCGGCTCTTGACTATAGCCATGGCAGACAAAAACATTACTATGACTTGAGACGTCAACATGCCACATTTCGTTTTGGTGACCTTGTTAGAGTTAGGACACAAGCAAGGTCAGACGCTCAGTCTAACTTTACTGTTAAACTTGCACCATTGTTTAAGGGACCATTGTGTGTATCTCAGAGACTCAGTTATGTTAACTACAGGCTCACTTGGGTGGACTCCGGTGTGGATGCAGGTGTTTATCATGTTGTGAACATGCAACTGTTCCATACCTGGGACTCTCTCACTTCCAAGGAACATTCTGTTTCATCTCATGCTGTCAGAGAGACCACAAAGGATCTGGACACTGACACTCAGGCCCACCCTGCCCCCAAAAGATGGACAAATGATTTTCACATGACCGGGCTTGATTTGAAGTGAAATGTTTTGACTAAACCTATTTCATGTTGTCTTGGTGCACTGCAATTTTGAGTCATGAAGGTGTAGACTTTTCTGTTCACTCTTCTTAATCCAGTTGTATGGCTCTTTAGTGTGTTAAGGTTCACCTTCTTTGAAAAACAAAGAAAACAGATTTTGCACTGTACATATTCATTTCATTTTATTTTTGCCAAATTCATTTTTAAATGGTCTTTTGCCTTGTGTGTGTTGTGATCTTAGCTGTAACCTCTATGTACAGGCTACTGTTAGGTGTGGTGTGTGCTTCTTTAGCTGTGGGGACTATGTAACAATTGCTGTTGTAGTACAGTGTATTGCTGCATGGTGGTGCCTCCTGTCTCATGACTGGTGGGTCACCCCCCTTTCGTTCTTTTTTGTAATGGATTCTTCCATGGGTACGCGGACGAGTGCGTTTAAGTAATGTGTGGTAGAGGTAGCACTTTTATTTTTGATATTTGAAATAAATGAGTACTTGTGGAAAGTTAGAAGTTGTTGCTTATTCTCTACCCACGAAAGTTAAACCACTTAAAAATAACTGAGCACACGCTTCTAACAAAGGTTAAATTGTGTTTTTCTTTGTAGCATGTTTTTCTTTGTTGTATAATCTCAGTGCCTTCAGTTGCCAAGTAGTTCCTGGAAAGCCAAACTGCAGAAGCAAAAGTGTCAAAGGGATAAACTCAACATAGTGCTGGAGGCAGGTTTAATCATCAGTCAATGTGGCAAACTGAAACTGCAAGAAAAATATTAAATTCAGTCACCTGGGTGTGTAATAGCCTATAAGTATAGCACATGATGGTAATCTCTTTAGGAATGAGACAATGAAATGAGACAGTTATAAACTGATGAAATCACATTTATTTATTGCTTAAACACATTAAAACTGTTTTGTGATTCTGACAAAATTCTTAAATATAAATCATATATTAATAGCCTGTTGTAAATCTTCCACAGTAGCATCAAAAGGCATCCAAGCTGTCTCATTCGAAAGTGATGTCTGGACTGGTGGCATCTCAGGATGTTCCAAATGGAGTTTTGTTTCTAAAAGTTGTCTAAATCATCATTCCCTTAGCAGATAGTAGTTGCTTATTACATTATACTGGGGAATGAAATGCAGCTTTGGAAACTAAGAAATTGCTACTTTATGTGCACAGGTTAAAATGAATCAAATACTTTACAATTTCATCTATGAAAAGATTAACTATAACTTTGTAAGAGAGGGTATTAATGTTGATTTATGCAGTGAATTCAATATATATGTTTACTTGGATCTTTTTTAGCAGGCAATGATAAAACAAATAAACAAAATGTACGTTATTATACCATGTTCCCATTTTCACCCAAAAAAATAAAAAAATAAAAAAATGAGATGCTCAATTACACCTTTACAAAAATGCAATGGCTCATATTTTAAAAAGAGTTAAAAGTATTACTTTTCTAAAACAGATTTTGATTCAGTTCTAGTTAAATTTCTGTTTATATACCTTACTTAAAAAGCAGTGAAAAAGCAATGCTGATCCAGACATAATGTGTTACACTCATTGTATGACCTCTAGTGGATGCTCTGTTAGCTGCAGCAGTAGTCACCGAGGGAGTCACTGCAGTGGTTGTAGGGACAGGAGTAGTTGTAGGTACTGGTGTAGTTGTAGTCAGAGAGGTAGTTGTAGGTACTGGTGTAGTTGTAGTCAGAGAAGCAGTTGTAAGTACTGGGATAGTTGTAGGTACTGGTGTAGTTGTAGTCAGAGAAGCAGTTGTAGGTACTGGGATAGTTGTAGGTACTGGTGTAGTTGTAGTCAGAGAAG